CCACAGGATTGCCTCGAGATATGCCTCAAGGGGCAATCTACCTTCGAATCTCACGCTACATGCGCTTGGGTAGCTTTCCTTCAACGTCTCTACCCACTCAATGGAGGCCTCAGACCCAAGTTCGTGCAATGGTGTTGCTTGCCCAGGTATCAAAGCATCTGGTTCAAGTCCCAGTTCTTTCAACTTTTCAAACACTCGCCTCGAGGCAAACTTAAATACTGCCGGGAAGAGAGGGTCGTGCTGAGTCCAAAACCGTGGTACTTGGTTGCAGTAATCAATAAACATGAGGGCTCTCCACTCGCACTCCTCGCGGTCTTCCTCGGTAGCATGTTTCTGATGCGAAAGGGCTATCATCAAAGGTGTTTGCCCAGCTCTGTTCCGCATCAACAATGCCTTCCAAGTGTCATCCTTGCTCAAGTTGAAGAGGACATCCATGAACGACGCCGTCCAGCTTCTCTTAGAGCTGTAGTGCCAGAGGTTTTCCCCATTTCCATCTTCGGCAAGAAGGGAAACACCGGACCGGACAAGAAGTTTGAGGATCTTTCCATCTCCGTGACAGCAGCAGTGATGGACCGCGACTCGTCCATGGTCATCCTTGCTATGTGGATCGCTCCCTAACGCCAGGAGCTTGTCGGTGCAGACTGGGGAGTCCGCCCGAACAGCGAAGGACAGAAGGGTTCCTTCGAAGTTGCTGTAAGAGTAAGAACTATGAACATCGATGCGCTCATCATCCAGGTAGGACGTTAAGGCGTCAACATCATCATTCCGAATTGCGACAACGGTCTTTTCAATCAAAGCATCATGCGAGAGAGAGATGCGGCTATCGGTAAGAGTTGGATCGCTTGTGAAGGCAAAATCCAACTTGGAACAGGCCGACCATAACCCTCTCCCAAGCTTCAGGCCCCAATCGAACTTATATGCAGAGGATCGTTTAAGATATTGGACCAGGGCCAGCAGAGGCGTCTCCAGCTCATTAGGGTTGTCAATCCGAGTCCAGGTCTTTAAATACGCCTCAAACTCGTCAGTTTCGGAGTCCATGGGGCTGATAGATTGCTCCAGAAGCTGGATAGTTGGACTAAAATCCTTGATATGACAGTCAATGATGGACGTGGTCAAGAAGAGTGGCACAGTCGCACTGTACTCAGAATTCTTAACAAATGAAGCCCCAGCTTGAATGAGACAGCTGATAGTGCGATTTCGGCGAGAGGGGCAGGGTAGAAAACTCTTGAGAATAGGTGACTGACAGTCGGGAAAAGCAACTTTCTTGTTCTTCAAGGCCAAGAGTGAGAGCTCAGCGAGGAGAAGCGGCGTGCCCATGTCGCACTCTTCGTTGACATCGGCGCCCTCTCCAATGAGGAATGAGCAGATCTCTGGCAGATTCAATGCGGCTGCGATGTGCAAGGGTCGTAACTTCTGGTCAAGAACGAGGCTCCGAAGATAGATGATGCATTCCGAGAAAGGATTTGAGTTGTTCTCATCCTCGTCATAGAGAGAATGAAACATCCTCCCTAAAAAGAACTCAACCCAGCCACGAAAGGTCTGGGTCATTGAGGGACGAAACAGAGACTTGACTTCATCTAGCAGCAAAGAATCATCGAGTCCTTCCCTTGCAAGTTTTGGCCACTGGAAGGTTGCTTCGCGGTAGAACGGGTAGGATTGACGCTGCTCTTCTCTGAACTGATCCCATTCAGTAGAATGTGAGGGAATGTAGTTGAAATTTTCCAACTGTAGAAATCTGAGGCATTGTGCTGCAAGTACTTTGCAGTCTGTTTGTCCGGAGAGTCTGTACGCCTCCAATCCAGGAGTTCTCGACAAGATGTCATCTTGGAGAAATTCTAGCACTGAAAAGTGAGCAAACTCTAAAGATTCTCCGTCGGGAGACCTTCGTATCAGGCTACTGCAGCCTAGAACGATATCTCGCTCCGATACAGTATTGGTTTCGTCGATGCGTGCCTCTGGGGTTGAGACTGCCTGGCACAGTGCCTTGACCGATAGCGGTTCCGGGAAGAAGGCGATGAACTGAAGAGACATTTGTACCATTCGTTGAACACGAGCTGGTCGTCTATTAAGCCGCTCGAGGAGTCGACGGTAGCTATCAGGTAACGTTGGTGGCAGTTCCTTGAGGGCGTTTCGGCGGTCAGCATCCGTGGCAAATTCGCAAAGATAGTCGAGTTGACAGACAACCCATCGGAACCTGGTTCAATAGTCAGAAAGTGAAAGCCAATCAAAATAAGTTAACAAAGACAACTCACATTCCGTTTGCTCGCGTGATAAGTTCCTCTCCAATCTCATCCTTGATCTTCAAGTTGCTGACCTTGAGCCGGTTATTCTGGATCCTTTGTTCCATCTCGGCTCGAACGAATAGCTCAATGTCTTCTTTGTGAGCCTCAATGGAGACCTCTTCAAACTCTTCGTGAAGCCATGTCCGGATGTTGAGTTCGTCGCGACTGAACAAGGCAAGACTTGTGGTAGTAGTGCTCACAGATAACTCTGAGATGCTGTCGAGTACAGAATCGGTGTTTTCTCCACACTCGTCAAGCCCGTCAATGACGATAATGGTCTGCCTGAAAAGTTCAGACATCTTTGTGATGGACGCTCTAAGCTCGTCCGCATCTGCCACCCTATCCAGCGCTCGTGCTGGATGGAGCTCCTGGTAGTAATCCTGAAGCAGGTCGAAGGCATCATCTTTTTGTCGGGCGATCTGTGATGCGATGGCACCGAGGATGTTTACAGGTGCAAGAGTGGCTTTGTTCTTGTAGTCGCAGAAGAAGAAGGCAACAGCAATGTCAGGTGATCTGGCGGAAAGGGCCTCCTCAATGACCGCACCGGCAAGAACGGTCTTCCCGCCACCAGGAATACCATTTAGCCATAGCCTTGAGCCAGGCGTGTCTAGCCACGTCTTGAAGGCATGGGACAATGTTAACCAGCTACCTGTGGTGGGATGACGTAGTCTGAGGCTTTGAGACAAGTTGGCTTTTGGATTTGCTTCGGGTTTCATGAAGAAGTCTAAGACGAGCCTCTTCCTGACATTTACCTCATCCCTCTCTAAAATGTCAGTAATATTGTCCAATTTTTTATCAAGTTTCCTGTCGAGATCTTCTTGGTTCGCGAGACAGATTTGCAATTTGCGCATCGTGTCGGCCGAGGTGGCTAGAGTGAGGGTCTCTTTGCAGCGCGATATATCGGACAGCAAGTCCTTGGTCTCGGAGACGGAAAAGGGCCATTTCAATCTTCGTGTAATGCCTTCCCACTTGGCCTTGTTGTCGAAGTCATCTGCAGCTTTCTTCACCCTGTTCTTTATCGTTTCCAGCGACTGTTTGCAGTGAATGAGATGCTGCATCCTCAGAGTTGGTTCAAAGGATGCCTCGGCCTCCAACTCACTCGCCAGGGCGTGAAGGCTCCGTAAGACTCCGGCAAGCGCATTGATCTCGGCAGACAGTGATTCGACTTCCTTCTTGGCACCGACCACACCGCGGGCGTACTTGAAGACATATCGAAATGCCGTGTCAGCAAGGCTCATTAGACCAGCAATGCTGGCTGCCATGGAAAGTGGATCGGCCATCGTGCCTTGAGGTAGCAATACCCATGTGGCGATATCTGCAAGCTAGTGAGTTGACTTGCGCTGATTGTAGTTTTCTAGCATTACCTAAGATGTGCCTCTTGCTTTCATGCTTTGGTAGGACAGACTCGACTGAATTGGAGAGACAAAGAAATGTAGATAAAACTCCCGACGTAGATTAAACCGACAAACGTTATCTAGGTAGAAGAGCCTCAAGGCATCAGCTGGCGAGGATAAGGAGGCGCAGGTTGAAACCTGCGTGTTTATGGGGTACAATACTGTGGCCAATTAGGCTAGACTACGTACCTACCTACAAGCCATTGAAATCTCACTTCCTTGGCTGATAGAGACTAGCAACGCTTATCCATCCAGTCATTCTGGGCAGTGATTTTAACAAGAACGCCTAGTTGACGAGGCAGATTCCATACGAGATCATGGAAATCAGGCTGGCGGCTAACACGCAAGGCAGCATGCTCGCTGAGCGATTCAGTGAGTATGAAAGGAAACATTTCAGTTCAGAACACAATATGGTCCGGAACCCAAACCCACAAATAGATACTCAACATTCGTAAAACCAAATCGAGCCTCAAACGTCGCCCAGTTTTCGAAGTAATGCTCACTAATTGTATATCGTCAACAACCACCAGTGAGTAACACCTTCCTCTTCCTCTTCTCTCAGCAGAGGCTCTGTATTTTTAGATTGAGTGGTGGGGCTGACCCCACACGAACCTTAAGTCCAGCACAAGCGACAACACCGAATAGGTAACTTGAAAATTGCTAATTGAAAGGCGTTCGCCAGGGCATATTAGATGGAGATTCTGAGCTGCGGGTCGTATGCCTGAAGGTGAGCAAGATGAGCTTGCGCAATGGAAATATAATGCCTTCGTGATAGGGCACAATATCAACAAGCGCAGGATTGGTGTAGTGGTTGTAAGTCACCGAAACGTCCTGTTTCAATTGTCACATTGATACTAACCTTTCCAAGATCACGCATCGTTCACAGTTGCAATCAACGCAAGTTCCGATGAGGCCGCGAGTTGACCCTCGCATCCTGTACTCTTTCTTTTTGCTCGGCCGTGGGCAATGGCTGTGGTTGTGCCACCAGTCTCACCAGGTCTCACTGAGGCTCAGTGTTGATTGCATAATTCATACATAGAAGTATAAATGCACGGTTTATACATTTGCGCACAAATCAAGTTGCGTCTGTCTGTCCAGCATTCCAACCCTGCGAAGGGTGATGGGATTGGGTTCCCACCACCTAATAAGAGGCCCACCTCCCAGGGAGCTTGGTACTTCCTTTTTTGCATAAATTGAAGGACAAAGGCTCCAGTTTTGTCATGTGATTGCTTAAATACCAGCCTTCCCAGTGGTGGCGGGAAAAAAAACCCAAAACACCAAAAAAAATCGCCCGATGATCACAGTCGATATAGGCAAAAGAAATAGGTCGAACCGGGGGTCGAACCCGGGGCCTCTTGCGAACGTGATGTGAAGCAAGCGTGATAGACCACTACACCATTCGACCTCGCTTGTTGTTGCAAAGAAAGCTTGCAACTTGATCCTAGAAGTTTTTCGTGGAGTTTGCGGGATTTCCGGGATTTCCGGGATTTCCGGGCGTTTTGGGGTGCCCACAATCCAGAGAATTTGTCTCCAGACCCACTTTCAAAACGGCTATTAGTCATGCAACTTGGAGCGCTCAGGAAAAGTTGAATGAGTTTCAGGGGTCGGGGCGGCTCTCACTCTCTCGCCAGGCATTTGGCATTTGACACAACCGATTTGCATTTATATTGGTTTACCATTTCCAGGAATAGCACTTGGCTCTAGAGGTTTCTATTCATAGGCATTATCTATAGTTAAGTATTCAATATTTACGAAGTGGTCATGAAGAATAGGGGCGTCAGCACATAACCATCCATGTCATAATGATGCTCTCTACCTGATATTCAGACGCCATTTCCAAGAAATGGCTACAACTTTCGGGCACAGAGACTTGTTGCCTACTGCTAGGACATCTTTGGCCCTGACATGGATGGTGAGTCTTGAAAGAGAGCGCGGCATGCGGTTGCCATCACCATCATCAGTCAAACATGAAGGTAATCATTTCTTTTAGAGGTATCGAAGCAATAAAAACCTTATATGGCGAATACTTGCAGCACGATAGCATCCAACTGCAATCAACCGCGTCCAATGCAAGGACCCGTTGGAATCGGCCAGAAGTCAAAGGATGCTTCAGTGCCGAGTCTGCACACGTGGTGCTGAGGTTAAGACCTCAGCCAAGTAAAAAAAAAAAAAAAACACAGTTAACATTTAACCATTGATCCTCATAAAGTCTGTGATTGAGGCTTTTCGCCTGCTTCCTCTCCTTTCATCAGATTGCGCACTCACCATCATCACCCTCTCGCACCCATCTGAAGACTCTTGACCATACCAAAATCGTCATGGCTGAGAATCTCATTATCCTACTCATTGGAAAGGGCGCGCGGGAACATGCCCTTGCCTGGAAGTTGAGCCAGGCGCCTTCAGTAAAAAAGGTGCTTGTCTTTCCTGGAAATGCGGGAACAGAACAAGGCCACGTCAAAGTCTCGAACCTCGAAACCAATCTTAAAGCGGCAGACTACCGTCAATTGGCCAAGCTTGCGACGGAACTGGAAGTTGGCCTCACTGTTGTTGGGCCTGATGACGCTGTTGTTGATGGCATCGAGGGCTTCTTCAAGGACGTGGGTATACCATGCTTTGCGCCAACAAAAGAAGCGGCTGAGCTTGAAGGGTCCAAGACGTTTGCCAAAGATTTTATGGCCAAGTACAAGATTCCTACTGCTGCATATCGGAACTTTGACGACATTGAGAGCGCCAAGGCATATGTTCAGGAGGCAGACCATCGAGTTGTCATCAAAGCGGATGGCCTCGCTGCTGGAAAAGGAGTCGTGCTGCCCGAAACAAAACAGGAGGCTATTTATGAGCTCGAAAGCATCATGAAAGATGGCGGCAAGTTTGCGACAGCGGGCTCTTCGGTAGTTATTGAGGAGTTCATGGAGGGTGATGAGATCAGCATCTTGACCTTCAGCGATGGCAAGACTTTTCGATCTCTACCGCCAGGGCAAGACCATAAGCGGGTATTTGAGGGAAACAAAGGCCCAAACACTGGAGGTATGGGCGTGTACTCGCCAGTTCCCTTTGTAACAGAGGCTATTCTGGACGAGATCAACAAGTCCATCCTACAGCCAACCTTCGACGGACTTGAGAGGGAAGGTGTGTATTGTCGAGCCTCATTGACTATCAATTGCTAATCTAGTCCTCAGGGAACCCCTTCGTAGGCCTCCTTTTCACAGGTGTCATGATCACGCCTCAGGGACCCAAAGTTATCGAGTACAACGTGCGGTTTGGGGACCCGGAAACTCAGAGCGCCATGATGCTCCTCTCGAAAGATACGGACCTCGCAGATGTTCTCCTCGCGTGCACATCAGGTACTCTTGATAAAGTCAGCTTGGGTATTCGACCAGGATTCGCATGCAATGTGGTTGTTGCTTCTCAGGGGTATCCAGGGAAGTATGCAACTGGAGTGCCGATCACTCTCGAAACGTGCCCCAAGGACGTCCAAATCTTTCATGCCGGTACTTACAGAGACAAAAGCGGCTGCTTGAGGACTGGTGGTGGACGTGTATTCTCCGTTGCTGCTTGGGGAAGTACCCTCCAAGAAGCTGTCGACGCGGCATACGAGGGTACCAAGAGTGTTCAATTTGATGGCATGTTTTCAAGGAAAGATATAGCTTTTCGGTAAGTATCTCCTATGTTCTTAGAAGGTGATTGCTGGTCATACTAACCGCTTTGGCTTATAGATGTCTCCAATCCTAACCCCTAACTGAGAACTGATACCTATCGCCCCTGTCGAGAAAGACAACTTGGTCCTGAAATCTGGATTCTTCCACAGCTTTCTGAAAATCGCTTAGAGGAGACATGAAAACATCATAGTCGTCATAGTGAATGGGAATCGTGACTTCCGGCTTCATCATCTTGATCATCTCGACGCCCTGCTTCGCATCCATCGTAATCATGACCAGAGGCGCTGACGGCCCAGGAACAGTTGTGCCTCCAAGGTGAATCAGCATGAGATCGATTTGTCTGCCCTGAAGCCACTTGGGGATATCCTTCAGCTCATCAACTAGAAGGGTGTCGCCTGAGATATAGATTCGATAGCTAGCCTCGTTTCCATGTCCCAGCTCCAGCATCCACCCGTTGGTTGGCGGAACGGCATTGAGTAGATCATTCATGACTGCCCAGGGGCCAGGTGGAACATGTTTGCCAGGCATGCCGATGGTCCTAATGACCGGGGCCCCTGAGCTAGCTTCCGCGTCACTAGTCTTGAGCTCCAGATAGTCAAAGAAGTCGAGAGCCTTGACGTTACGGAACGGATCGTCCTTCAAAGTCAAACACTCCTGTGCGTGGGGAGTGGTGATTATCAGGAAATCTCTGTTGAGAGATTCCTCCACCAGCTGATCAAAGTGGTCGGCATGATAATGCGAGAGTAGGATTCCGTCGAGGGAAGGCAGCTCACCAAGCTCAACAGCTGGGTTAGTCTGCCTCTGCGCCGTGACACCAGGGCCAAGGTGGACGTGATCGCCGGCGTGGAGAAAGTTGGGGTCGGTAAGAATGCGGAAGTGATTCCATTCGATGATAGTTGTAGCTGTTCCAATAAAGTACACGCTTGCATCTTGGTCGCTCTGGCCAGGACTGGCTTGTTGTCCCCGATCCTTGGGCTGTCCTTTAGCAAGGGCCGCCTCTTGGAAGGGGTGAGAGAGATTGACCCTTTATCAACCATTTTGATTTTGAAACTATTCGAGCATTGTTTGTCTTAAGTTTGGTGTTCTCATGAGCGCTGGGGGCGGGAAAATAAAACCGAGTTGGATGACGTTTTTCTGGCGTATATCACAGTGTCAAGCAATTCACCCACTTTCAAGCTTCTAATAATATGAATGCATTCGTCATAGATATTTCTGTGATTATTATTAGACATGGTCCTAAAAAAGCACCAATACTCTCAAACGTCTTTGATAAGAGTAGCCAAGTTGAGAGGTTTGCTTAAATCTACTTGGCATCTTCTACTGCACTACCCTAGGCTTGGATGATACACGTTAAGTTTAATATTGAGGCCTTACTTATAATCGTATCCCCTTAGCCTCAAGTCGTATACGGTTAGCTGGCTAATGAAGAGAAACTGTCCTTAATGCACTTGGGATGTGTTTGTCATCCGAGACCTTGCTCCCGGCCTGCTTATGATGTATCTGAGAAGACAGAATAGGACACCTTAACTACTGTATAACCATTCATAGTAACATAGCATTTAGGTCGGAAGACACCTCATTCCTCGGTGGTTGGCGACGCCTCTTTCTTCTCGTTCAGCGGCTTCTGTCCCCAAACCGTTGCCCTATTCATGTTAGTAAGAGTAACCACCCCAAGAAACTGCTAACTTACACTTCAGCATAAGAATGTATCGACCTGTCCCGAAGGGCCTTGCGCGTCTTGGCCAGGAAAACCTGCACCTCAGAAACCTCCCACCCCATGATCTGCGTCAGCAGAAACAATACATAGCCCTCGAGGCTGTTCTCGGTGATGAGTAGGTTGTACTGCCCAACCTCTTTCCACTTCTTGTCGGCTGCCCAACCGCCCGTGGGCAACTTGAACCGGTGCTCGTTGACGGCCGTGAACCCTGTATCCTTGAGCCACTGCAAACTCTGACCGTCCTCGATGATTCTGAAGCTGCGACCCATCTTCTCGCCCGCCTTTTGGAAGAGGTCGCCCCAGCCGTTTAGTGGAGAGTCTTCGGGGATGCTGTTGTCGTCGGAGCGAACGTCGATCGAGTAGTCCATGTGCTCGAACCAGCCGCCGGGCTTGAGGCAACGGTACACTTCCTTGTATAGGGCGGGCCAGTCTTTGATCGCGCCCATCAGGACTCGAATGTGAACGTAGTCAAAGTGGTTATCGGGATACGGCCAAGGGATCTGAGCATCGTCGAGTTCGAACTTGCAGTTGGGAGGAACCTGTAATTGTTAGACGTTGGAAACAAACAGACACAATTTGACATACCCATGGTGGTTGAATCGGCGAGAGATCAGTTCCAATGACTTCGGCAGAGGGGAACTGATCGGCAAAGTCGCTACAATTGTCAGCGTCGTCCGAGCATGGTAACTTGTCCATACATTGCCCAAATGCCAGTTCCTGTTCCAATATCAATGACTCTCTGCGGATTATCCCCAATTGGCGCTAGAAACAGCTTGTGATCCAAGGCCAAGTAGAGCATATGATGGCTGGAAAGGTTAGAAAGCGAGGTGCAACCAGTAACTGAACTACAGACCTGAGTTCCAGCCCTTCATTTTGTCTGTCATCGTTGGGCCCCCTTTCGAATGGTTAGCAATGGTTAGCCATGTGGAAGTTAATGGCACACCAGTATTCTGTTCCCGTGTTAAAGTTCTGATATGTTCTGCCGTGGAGCTTGCGGTATTCGAGGATGCTCTCGCTTATCGAAGTGGT